CCTCTTGATACTTGGGATTTGATCTTGACAAGATACTATCAAGATCTCTTCTCATCCTTTTGTTATGAAACAACCTTTCATAGCCAATTCAAATTTAAACATTTAAATTCAAAATTCAAATATTTAAATTCAAAATTCAAATTCAAAATTCAAATTTTAAATTTAAACATTAGATAATTAATTTAACTAATTAAATTAATTAATAATGTCTTGGACCATCCAAGCCTATTACTACAATTCATACGCCCCTTTCCCTCTTAGGTGGGCATCCAAACTTCTTCTTGGGCTAACAACCATTATTAGGCCCAAAACCTTTAATGCTATTATGTCAAGACAATAAGGTGTTAGTGTGTAACCCATTAGGCCCCACATAGCCACTGACATAAATGGGCTTGGGCCCAAGAAGACCACAACCCATTTAATGACAATAGAGAGCACTAGCAATGCTTTGTTGCCCCAGAGCTAGTTAGGTTAATGACATGATCATCCTATTAAATGTATTTGGTTACTGTATGTATTTTCTTTCGTCTCGGTTACCTTCCCATTAAACCTAGGGTGAGGAGATGTATCGTGTAACAGCCCGTTGTACACCGGTATTGTTAACATTAATTATGATATTAAGCGTAGTTACAATCACAATAGTTTATTTATAAAAATGCGAGTAAACTTTTTCTGTTTATTACGCGAACGTTTACAACAATAAGAAGCGTAATAAATAAAAGTTGTGACCGTAACTATAAACTCTTTGCGGAAATAATTATTTAAACTAATTTTATAACTTGTTTTACATCTCTCAAGTCACTACGGGGTTCCTATAAACCCACTTAGCCAAAATGTCACTTTTAAGTTTTCTACATTTCCGAACATGGTTCGCTCCTTATTTTTCTGCGGACAAACTGCATGACGCGCGCTCTTCATATTTTAGTATGTTATTCTAGACTCCATTACCTTTCTAGGAAGCTATCACATGAGTTATTTAGAGCTCGTTTGCTCTGGATATCGCCGTTTGAAGTTGGACAAGCAAAGCTGCCACCAACCCCAAAATAGTTCCAAACATCCCTCACTAAAACAATTAATGCAGAATGTCCACTCATCCAATTGCTCTCAAATTTTTATACCACAAACTAAACACATCAACCATAAATTTGATATATCATACACCTAATTTGACCAATAAACGAAGCGGGAATAATGTTTCCAAGACAGATCCAGAACTGCCACATGTGCAGTAAGCAAATGGGCAGTCTGTGTTCTCTGCCTTCTATAGGCCGACTCCCAACTCATAATTTTACCACAAGATATAGGACATCTCAAGCTTCAAAATGGCATATGGAACGTCCCCATCAGACCTCTATGGAGGGAGTTATGATCTCTCAAAGTTCGTCTAAATCCTGCCAATTTCTAGAAAATTCGCCAGAGTTTCCTTTGTTTTTCCAATAATCCCCAAATTTGACCAAGTGCTCTATGACCTCAAATGTACCTAATAATCATTGGGTGGCACACACAAGGACCAACAATGCCTTGGGGCTCTTACAACCCATCACAGTTTATATTAAACTACTCAATTCATATCATATTTCTTACTTTATTTACACTTAGCATATTTCAATCACCAATGTCCATTTGCATGCATTTTCTAAACATACACAAAATCATAATCCTAAAATAGGCCTATTGCCCTTTCATCATATTATATGCTTCATATTACATCAAGTATTCATGTACAAATTACAACTTCCAAATGAAATACTACACTTTACAACTCAAAATCCTTAAATACAACATGATGGATAAACCTCAAAATGACATATATAACTAGACTTAGGCAAAATGACATGAACAAATATGACAATGAATCTCCTCCTAAATACATATGCAATGTTCATGCCCTAAGTCTAGCCTAGGCCTAATGGCCACCAAAATACAAAATCCATAATCCTACAGCTAGTCATCCCATGGGCTTCTTGCCCACCGCTCCTGCACCACTGCTACCTTCCTGAAATAATGCCCCCAAGACGGAGTGAGATATACGAATATATCTCAGTAACCCAGAGGTTCTGGAGAATACTCCGCCAAATGGCTCACTTCGATGGATATAAATATTATAAAATAACATCTTGAAAACGGGATAAAGCAAAGGATTTAGATAAATAGGGGAACATAGGGATACAAAATACGACGAAGCTGGAATGGTCGATGCCACTACCACGCAACGTCCAGACTATTGGCTCGGCATATAAGCCTACGGATCTCATCCAAGGCGTGTTCCCAGAACATCAAACCAAGGCACCCCTCCATCCATATACACCCGAGACTTCCTTGTGTGCTCCTATCCGGATCACACACCCCGACCCTAGGTCAACTAGAACTCCCTCTCGGAGACCTATCCAGTGGAAGTCCGTAACGCCCGAAGGAAAACTGTCTACTGGCCAGAGACTCGGTACATCCAATGTACCACTAACATACATAATAAATGCATGAACATGTTATTCTACATTACTTACATACACTTCCTACCATCACCCTTAACGGGCATGGTGGAACACACAAGGGGATCAAGCCCCAGTACCAAGAGGTTACTTGTATAATCCTCTCCAATTAGCTCCAAGGCAATATATTCCCCGAGCTCGTTATACAAGAGAAATGCCTACACAGAGGACATTCCCAATTACTTACAATTCATACCAACACATGCAAGTTATAAACTCTTCAAGCATGGTTTCAAATTCTTACCTCAATCCCACTTGGTCCGGGACCAAGGGCAACCCACCGAGCTCACGGTTCCGGTTCAAATCTACTTACGGCAACCCACAACAACCATGTACGAATCATCAATACACGACAAATCTATCAAAATACGAAAACGTCAAAATTTCTCCCCCAGACAAGGTGGGTTCGGCCTACATAGTGTTATTTTACAATTTATTTTTTTAAATTTTCTTTCTCATTTTCTTAGGCATCCTTAGGTTAAGAAAATGTCATATCAAGTGCCATTTTTCATTTTACATCATTCAAACATCGTTTTGCCTAATATTTTGCTCTAGGTTCCATTACACCTTTCAATACTATCAATTATTTTTCCATTGGTTTTCCAACCTTCCAACCACCACACAACTCATCTAATTACCATACAATACACAATATGGAACCAATGCACTCCATGAAAAGAATATAAAGGTTCAACGATTTCGATGATAACAAACAAGCATGGGAAGAAAGCTTCAAGGAGCAACCATCAAAAAGAAGTCTAAACAAGATCAAGACTCAAGCTTCAAGAGACGTCACTAAGTCTAAACTCAGAGTAATATACTGTAGGACTTAGGATTATTTGTAAATTGATTCTTTACAAGAATGAAGCTCAAAGTTTTTTTTTTAAATACATGCATTAAATCATCGTTTGACATGAAAACATACTTTTCAATGTTCATAAAATGTTCAAACAATATTTGAAAATGATGTAAATCAAGAGAAAACCATTTTAGGGCGAAAACCAACCTTTCAACAGGTTGGTAATCGATTACCAAACAATGGTAATCGATTACCCTTCATGGTAATCGATTACCCACTCAATGGTAATCGATTACCTACTGTACAGAGACAAAAATAACGGCTATAAAATGGCTAGTTTGCGAAAATGAGTAGGAAAAAGGCCATGGGGGCCCTATATAAATAGAGACTACTGTTCCCATTGATGGGACACATTTATTGATCATCATTACTCATTAATTCTCATCCTATTTGCCTTATTCTTGTCTTCTTGATCATAAATCCTATTTGAGCTTTATTCTTGTGAGAGTGTCATATACCATTGTTCTTCAACTTGTGTTATTTGTACTTTAAGAGTACTTAGCCATTATTAAACACCTTCCTTGATTACTTGAGTAGCTAGGGGAGTGAACCCTACACACTTGAAAGGTCACCAAATTCCTAAGAAAATTTAGAGTGAAAAAGTGTAAGGCATCAAGAGCCCGAAGTCTTGAAAAGTTGTAGTGGTTTGTCAAGCACCCTCAAGCTTGATAGTTAGTGAAAAGAATTGATCGAGCGGCTTCAGTTTGGACGTAGGTCACGGTGGTGGTGACCGAACCAGGATACATCTAGTTTGCAATTTCTCTAACCTTAATCTTTTTTTTAAGTATTAAAATTGCGTCTTAGATTGTCTTTATATATTCACTTGCTTACTTTGTTGATCACTACACTTGCTTTTACTATTAGACACTTCTTTATCAAATCACTTTATTGAAGAAATAGTCTGTAAAACATCAAAGGAGGTACTTTGCGAAAAGATTTTGTAAAACTCAATTCACCCCCCTCTTGAGTATTGAAGCCACCTGTCCAACAAGTGGTATCAGAGCTTGAACTCTTGTATAAAGAACTTAACCGCTTCAAGAGAAGGGATGACTTCTTTGAACCATGATATGCCCCTTGAGAGATCATCTAGTACTAGACCTCCATTTTTTAATGGTGTCGATTATTCTTATTGGAAGAGTCGGATGAAAATATTTCTTCAATCTAATGATTTAAGAGTATGAAGTGTAGTTGAAAAAGGATACACACCACCTACTATAAAAAATGAGAAGGATGAAGATATTCCTAAAGATATAGATAATTACATTGAAGATGAAATTAGGAAAGGGAATTGGAATGCTAGAGCTCAAAACTTGATCACAAATGCCTTAGGTCGTGATGAATACTTTCGTGTTTCAAATTGTAAGAATGCTAAGGAAATGTGGGATATTCTTCAAATAACCCATGAAGGAACGAGTGATGTTAAATTTACAAAATTAAATGCACTCACTAGAGAATTTGAAATGTTTGAAATTCATGAGAATGAAAGTATTCAAAGTATGCAAAAGAGATTCACACACCTTGTCACTCATCTAAATGCTTTAGATAAATCTTTTACTAACCTTGAGTTAATTGCTAAGGTAATGAGAAGTGTGCACAATAGGGAATGGCAACCCAAGTTGACGGCTATTACGGAATCAAAAGATTTGAAAACCATGGACCTTGCAACCTTGTTCGGCAAGCTCCAAGAGTATGAAATGGAGCTAACTAGAATAACCTTAAAGGAACAAGCCATCAAGAAAAGCAAGGGAATTGCCTTGAAAGCCTCAACACCAAGCAAAGAGAAGGATGAGGAAAAAGAAGATGGAGATTCCGAAAATGGTCTTGACGAAGATGAGATGAGTCTTTTCGTAAAGAAGTATGGAAAATTCTTTAAGAAAATTTTTCAAAGAAATCCGCATTTCCTCCTAGAAGAAGATCTAAAGATGAAGGATCCTCACAACTTACCATCACTTGCTTTGAATGTGGAAAAACCGGTCACTACAAATCGGATTGTCCAAATATTCAAAAGAAAGACAAATATGAAAAGAAGCAAGGCAAGGATAGAAGGAACTTCAAGAAGGCTTATCTTGTTTGGGATGATGAATCTAGTTCTTCCGATGATGACTCCAAGGAAGAAGCAAATCTATGCTTCATGCAAGATGGAAGACCACCGGAGAAATCAAGCAAAGGAACTCAACATATATGTCTAATGGCAAATGAGGACAAAAATGAATCTGAAACCGAGGTAAACTCATCTTGCTCTACTCTTTCCCCTTCATATGATGAGTTGTCTGACATGTTTGAAGAAATGCATAATGAAACACTAATACATGTTAAAGCTCTTAGAGCATCAAGAAAGACTATTAGTTCTTTGGAAAAACGAATTGCATCTTTAGAAAAGGAAGTAAAAGAGTTGAAGGATGAAAATGAAACTTTCAAATTACTTGATGCTAGCATTGGTTGTATTAAATGCCTATCTTCAAATGATCATGCATCTTCATCATCATGTACTTCATGCAAAGATCTAAACAATGAAATTGATGATTTAAATGAAATTCTAAGCAAATTCACATGTGGAAGAGACAACTTAAATGTGTTCCTTGGTAAACAAAGATGCATGTTCAACAAATCCGGTTTAGACTTTGACACTAACACACAAGAAAAATCATATAAAAACTTTTTCATTTCACCATCCTACATGACAAGTAGCCCATTCATTAAATGTTTTCATTGTGGTGGAAAAGGTCATAGTGCATCCACTTGTAAAGTTAGAAAGAATGGCATTATTGGGCAAAAGAAAGTGTGGGTTCCTAAGGGAACTAAGCCCAAGACTAACACACAAGGACCCAACATGGTGTGGGTACCAAAGATTAAATCTTGACTTTGTGATGTAGGTTTGTTTGAAGGCTAAAAGCTCCAAGTGGTACTTGGATAGTGGTTGCTCAAGTCACATGACGGGAGATGTAACTAAGTTCCAATCGCTCACTAAGAAAGAACATGGACATGTTTCCTATGGAGATAACAACAAAGGAAAGATTCTTGGTATTGGAAAAGTTGGTAATTCCTCCTCTGTTTTTATAGAAAATGTTTTACTTGTTGAGGGCCTTAGACATAACTTGCTTAGCATTAGTCAATTATGTGATAAAAATTATAAAATTATTTTTGACTCAACCTCTTGTAAAATTGAGAGTCTAATTGATGGGCAAGTTAAGTTTCTTGGTCATAGAGTGGATAACATTTATATGATAGACTTAGATGGTATGCCTTCAAATGACGATAAATGTTTGATTAGTAAGGAAGATGACTCTTGGTTATGGCATAGAAGAATAGCACACATTGGCATGGGTCAATTAAGCAAATTGATATCCTTAGACTTAGTAATTGGGTTACCAAAGCTCAAATTTGAAAAAGATAAAGTTTGTGATGCTTGTCAAATGGGAAAACAAGTAAAGGCTTCTTTTAAATCAAGAAATATTGTTTCTACCACAAAACCTTTACAACTTTTATATATGGATCTTTTTGGACCAACTAGAACCATGAGCTTTGGTGGCAATTACTATGCCTTGGTCATTGTGGATGATTATTCTCGCTATACTTGGACTTTATTTCTTACATATAAAAGCGATGCTTTTAAATCATTCAAGAGACTAGCCAAGCTTATTCAAAATGAACTATCTTCAAATATTGTTTCAATTAGAACCGACCATGGTGGAGAATTTGAAAATCAAGAATTTGAAATGTTTTGTGAAGAAAATGGTATTGAACATAATTTTTCCGCTCCTAGGACTCCACAACAAAATGGAGTTGTAGAAAGGAAAAATCGTGTATTGGAAGAACTTGCTAGAACGATGTTAAATGAAAATAATCTTCCAAAATATTTTTGGGCGGAAGCCGTTGGCACCGCGTGTTATGTTATGAA